GAGATATGAGAAGATCGCTCCCCAGCCACCCACTTTTTAGAGAGATCCAAGGTCCACAGCTCATTTACATATGTTTTCAGGCTTTTTCAATGTTTTGTTTGATTTTGCTTTTCTTCCTTTTTTTTCTTTAAAAAAAAAATCTTTGTTATTATGCCCGAAGGGCTATAAAACTGTGCATACATACCCTTACCACTCCTAGGTCTGTATCCCAAAGAGATCATAAAAAGGCCCACACGTACGAAAATATTTATAGCAACTCTTTTTGTGGTAGCCAAGAATTGGAAATTGAGGGAATGCCTGTCATTTGAGGAATGACTGAACAAGTTGTGGTATGTGAATTTAATGGAACACTGTTGTACTATAAGAAATGATGCGCAAGCGAATTTCAGAAAAAACCTGGAAGACTTACATGAATTGATACTGAGTGAAGTGAGCAGAACCAGGATAATATTGTACATAGTAACAGCAACCTTGTGTAATGTTCAACTATGATAGACTTAGTTCTTCTCAGCAATACAGTGATCTAAGTCAATTCCAAAAGCCTTATGATGGAAAATGCTATCCACATCCAGAGAAAACACAATGGAATCTGAATGCAGATCGAAGCATACTAATTTCACTTTTGTTGTTGTTTTGTTGTTTTTTTTCTTTCTCGTGGTTTTTCCCTTTTGTTATGATTCTTCTTTCACAACATGACTAGTGTGGAAATATAATTAATATGATTGAACATATGTAATCTATATCAGATTGTTTGCTGTTTTGGGAGGAGAGAAGGGAGGGATAGAGAAAAATTTGAAACTCAAAATCTTGAATGCTGAAGTGAATGCTGAAAACTATCTTTACATGTAATTAGAAAAAATAAAATACTAGTAAGTGGAAAAAAAGAGTAAGAAAAATATTTGTTATATGAGATGGCTCACTTAAAAAGAAGGAGGAGAAATACTGGGAGAAATTTAAGGTTCCTAAAAAAAAACAAGAGCAAGGGCAGCTGAGTGGTGTAGTGTATAGAAGGCTCGGCCTGGAGTTCGGAAGACTCCTCTTTCTGAGTTCAAATCCAGCTTCAGCACTTACTAGGTGTGTTACCCTGGGCAAGTCACTCAGTTCCTTATCTGTAAAATGAGCTGGAGAAGGAAATGACAAACCACTCCAGTATCTTTGCCAAGAATTGGACACAACTGAAAAATGACTTAAATAACAAAAGCAAGAGATAACAATAGAATTTTATTTTTTAAAAAGGACTTTAAGATGCTAGTACCTTTCCCTCCCCAAATTACTTTGTATTTATTTCATATATAGTATATCCATACTTATATGTGTGAATGTTTTGTCCCCAATAGACTGGAAGCTCCTCAATAGCAGGAACAGATTTTTTTTTTACTCTTAGTACAGTAACTGGCATACAGTAGGTGCTTAAATACTTATTGATTGATTGATGGGTCACAGACTCAGTAGGAAGAGAACCATGAGGAAACATTGTTATAGAATCCAAAGGAGGAGGGACATATATGATAGATGTACAGCCAAATGGCCATCTGAAAAATAGTTAATTCAGTAACCTTTTGAGAGACCACTTAAACACCCAATAAATAAAAGAAGGCAGTTGACTCCCAGTGTGCTTTAACACTGATGAGGCAAAATTTAAAAGTCTCCTTAGTTTAAGATAAAAGATCAGAGTTCAATTTTTTGTTTCCTAAATGATGTAGTGGTGATAGCATCATCCTTCCCACCAGAATAAGAACCCACTGCATAGAAAGTGATAAGATAAAAAAAGAACCATTCAGGACTAAAAAGAGGATTTATCTGTAGTCAAGACTGCTCAAGATGCCAGTAATGACTTCTGTGAGAGTATAACTAATCAGGCTAGGAAGACAATTAAAAAGATAAAGAAGGCAAAGGGACATAAGGTAAGGAAATGCTTTGTATATCTCAGTAAAGAAAAAAAAACACAAAGACTTTCTGAGTTTATTGTAAGCAAAATGTGTAAAGAATATTGTAATAGTTCTGGAAGGAAAGGAAAAAAAAAGAATTGTAATTAGAAACTAGAAGACAGAGTGCCTGTATTAAAAAGCCAGTTTCCTATCACTACCCACCTTCTAAAACTATAAAATTGTCACTTAACACTTCTAGTTTAATGCTGTCTCCTTTAATCTCAGAATGGCAACACACTTTATAGACATTATCTTGGTAATCCTCATGTGATAGAGGGCTAGTAAGATAGATAGATCTCTTTCTGAAATCAACAAGCCTTGTGAGGCAGGTTAGGTGACAAGTATCATAATTCTCTCTTACTCCTATAGCTGTTCTTCAGTGGAAGGTCCAAATGCCTTTCTAAATTGTCTTATTATTCCTTTCACCTTCCCTTTAAAGGGAAGTATGCAATCGGCAGTTTTGTGTCCATTTTTTAAAGGGAATAGTTGAGATACAGAGGTAATGACTTGCTCATCCTTGATCAACTCCCTCCCTTACACTTAAGGTAGTATATCTTTTCCTAACAGAAGGTAGAGTTGAATGATTGAAGCATTTATTGGGTACTTACAATGTACAAAGCACCACTCTGAGGCTGGGAGCACAAATAAAAAACTAAGACAGTCTCTGCTCTTAAGAAGCTCACTACCTAGTGGGGAAACAACAAGCAAACGTATTTAGCCCAGGCAATAGATGTGATCATGGTCTTCAAATATTTGAACAGTTGGCATTTCAAAGACAATTTGATCCTGACAACAACCCTGTGTGTTGGAGCTATTATCCTCATTTAACAGATGAAGAAGCTGAGGCAAAGAGAAGTTAAATGACTTGCCTTGGGTGACACCGCTGTGGAGTATCTGAGGCAAGATTCACATTCAGATCTTCTTTCTATTCACTTTGTCACCCAGCTAACTATTGTTTGTTGTTGTTGAGTTGTTTCAGTGTGCCCAGCTCTCTGTGACCCCATTTGGGGTTCTCTTTGCAAAGATACTGCAGTGGTTTTCCATTTCCTTCTCCAGCTTATTTTGCAGATGAGAAAACCGAGGCAAACAGGGTTAAGTGACTTGTCTGGGGTCATATAGCCAATAAGTGTCTGAGGCCAGATTTGAACTCAGGTCCTCCTGACTCAGGGGCTGACACTGTATTCACTGCATCATCTAGCTAACTATTGCTAAATTACTAAATACCAAAACATAAATTATGAATACTAACTACAAATTGAGAAAGACTATTTTGCTGTAAGAATGTGCTTTGTCCTCATTTCTAAGGTTATACTTAAGAGAAACAAAGAAAAAAGTCAAAATAAGTGGTAATATTCTATATTATGATAAAGTCCCTTTGTGAGAATACTGTTGTTCTTGCAGGGCATTTCATGTTCTTTTGACTTCATGGTAACTCTGTGATCCAGATTTTTCCCAAAGGGAACATGAGGAAAGTATGCTAACTCCTTCAGAAGCCTAATTTATGGTGTGATTTAGTGAACTCCTAGAAAGGCCAATTAGATTGCTCAAGCTAATGCTTTATACAAAAATGTCAGTTGTCATTTGGGTAGCAATCTAAAATCATATACTTAATGGTACCCTGGAGGCCTAAAAAATATTAATGCTTTCCATCAGCACCTACCTTGCCACTGGGAAATGATTTAGGCACTAGTGGGAATAGAACCCACTATCTTTACCACACTAGTTTATACCAGTCAACTTTAGAAATAGTATGAGGGAAGAATAATCAATATTGTGTTAAACCAGTCCCAAGGAATGTCAAGACAGAGTGCTTATGCTCAGCAGAACACTGGCCTCTTAAAGACAGCAAAATAGGAATTATTATTATTACAGAGCAAAACAAAATTGTGCCACAAGAGCAGATTTATCATCAAGCGTGACCCTCAAGAAGACTATAGCTCCCTAGGCACTTCAGTAAAATCATATCATTTGCTTTGATGAAATACATTTTTGAGGCAAATTATAGAGTATCACATGAAAAATTAGAAGTTATTTTAAATTATATATGTTAGTTATGAATTGACTTACATAAATCATTTTGGAAAAGTTATAGGAAAATATATAGGAATAGATTCATCTCCTCTGTAGAAATAGGGAAGGCTTCTTGATATAGGGAAAAACACCTCTGAGTTTAGAGTCAGAGGACCTGGGTTTAATGCTCTTATTTATAAGTTGTGATCCTGAGCAAGTCTCTTAAACTCTTTGGGCCTCAGTTATCTAAACTGTAAAAATGAGGGGGTTGGACTGGATGATCTTAAAGATACTTTCCAGCCCTAAGCCTTTGATCGTATGGAGATTGGACATGGTCTCTAAAGTCCTTTCTAGCCCTAAATCCTCTGTTATAAAATTAAATCTCCTCAAAATATACCCCAAAATGCTAATGTCCACATTTCCATGAGAATTATTATCTCCTGATTCCCAGTGTCAAGATTATACATCACAAAATAATAATGGCTGCTTTCCTACATCACCTTGATTTAAACCAGCATCAAAATAAGATTTTGACATTCATGAACCATAGCAGAGGCAGCCTGGCATAAGAAATAAGGTCAACAGACTTGGAATTAGGAAAACCTCATTCAACTCCCATCTCTGACATTTACTGCTTGTGACCCTAGGCAAATCACTTAACTACTTGTGTGCCTCAGGCACCTCCCCAGAAAGCATCTGGTGGGTACCCAGCAATGGGTCAGTGGAAGGAGTTTCTTAGCAAGAAATGCCAGAAATCACAGGTCCTTTTGGTAGTCATGGACCAAGAGCAATTGTGTTTATTCAAAACAAAACGAAAGGTCTCAGTTAAGTCTCATTTCATGATTACCATATAGACAATATCCAGGAAGTTATGTAATAATTTTGAGAAGGTCAGAACTAATGACTTTTGGGGAAACAAAGAATGTCTGTCCCATTACTACCCAGCTGAGCAATTGATGGTTGCCACATCTGAACTCAGCAAATCCAGAAATGAGAACTTCTAAAGGCGATAAGCTGTGGTCATTTTTTGGGTAGGTATTGATTTTACAATGGTTCTTCCAGGTCTTTCAGGGATGTGGCCAGCCCAAGCCTGCTCCTGCTCTGAGATCATCCCGTTCAGCTCCTGAAAATTTTAATACCCGCTTTAGACCATACAATCCTGAAGAAAGACCGACCACAGCTGCCGGCACAAGTTTGGATAGGCTGGTAAGTGAAAATGGGCTGATGGACATTTTGAATCTTTGTTATACACCCTCATGGAAAGTATCATGTGATTTCAAAAAAGTTGGCTGTGAAAGTCACATCGCTCTTACATCTTATCTTGCTTAGTGATTGAGCTTAGCCTTCCTTTTAATAAGAATTTTGAAAAGGAATGAGATCATTCTTTTAGGTTGCAAATTAGATCATTCAAGAAAATGTATACCCATCAATCCACCCATTCAGTGACCAAATTTTCTACATCATAGCTCTTCTGAAATATTAATTTGGAGATTAAGCTACCCGTTCTTCAATAGATATAATTAAAATAGCACATTTCTTATTCATTTGCTTCTGTTCTTCTTTTTAAATGGTTATTTATTCAATTATGATACAGTGAAACTTCATTATAACTTTTGCTTCCATTAAATTTTCATATGTAAAAGACCCTGGCATAGGCCCCCTAAACAATATTTCTACCCAATATTGTGGGAGATTTTTTCCCATCTCTTCAAAAAGTTATAGTCCTTTGCAAATAGACCCTATCTCATGGTGGCATTTAATACCTGGGGCCAAGTTTCAACAGGCCTCAGTCATAAATGCTGTCTACCCATACAAAGATCAGAAAAAAACTATTCTTAATTCAATTAAAAATAAATATTAAAAATTTAAATTTAAAATTAAAAGCTCATCATTTCAAGGTAATGCTTCCAAATTATTTCACATCCTGATTTCTACAGCGTTACAAATAGTATTTATTTAATTTTTACTATTATTAATACTGCTTCACCAATTATCTTGATGGAAAGCTAGCAGATGAAAACAAGGTCATAAAGCATTTGAACGACATCTGAATTAATTTAGAAATAGAAATAGAGTACTTCTTACTCTAAATATACTTTTATTACACACCTGTTATGAATTACTTTAACATTTTAGTTAATATCCCTCTATAGGGTGAAAGTAGTGAGATTAAATTGGTTGCATTTGCTCCTGATACAAATAGAGCTCAGTATTTCTTTTTATGAAGGTCTAACAACAACAGAAAGGCTTTGCCACAGCAGCCAAAGGGGATTGGCAAGTCAGGCAATTACTGGTGAACTAATTATCTGGTGAATTCCATCTTGATTATTGAGCACATAAAATTCAAGTTTTCAGCAGCAGCACATTTTTGTAACTGAATTAACTAGGAAATTGTCTCAGCCTTCCATTTCACCTTGGCTATGTTGGTATGCAGTGCTTGTGAGGATAGGTTTGAATTCAGTGTAACCTGTTATTTTTAAAAAACAATCAAGGACCAATTGTTTTCGAAATGACAGAGTCCAATTGTTTATTCAAACTGGCTTGTGTTGGTATGTCTATACTTTGATTTTGAAAACATAAATAAAGAACCTGCTATCAGTCTGTTTTTTGTTAGTTCCCCACCTAGGCAAATCAAGTTTTTTGAATTTTCATAAAATTAAATTAAAGAAATTGACATATTCATTCATTTGTATGTAGTTAGTGAAAATGAAATAAATTTAAAGAACAAAATTAGAATTGTAAAAACAAGTTAATTCTTCCCATTTGATTAAAGGAAAGCAGAGACATTTTTGCCTCTTATACAAGTAAAATATAGGAAAACTTAAGAAACCAACTATTCTCTCTCAAAAAGTAAAATTGACCAGGACAAATTATATTTCCAAAAACAATTCATTTCAAGGCAACATTATCATCTGTCTATGATATTCAGTGCCCCGTGCTAGGCATTAGGTATGCAAAGAGGAAAAAGGACGTAATGTCTGTCCTCAGAGAGCTTACAATCTAGTAACAAATAATACCTATTCAAGTTAATGGCTATGTAACATCACACCAGTGATGTTTTTGAGTGTCCATATTACATTGGAAGTATGGTATCTGAAATTTGACTCTTTGCAAATACCAATCCACCAGATTTTTAGCAATAATAATAAAAATCACAAAACTAATAAGATTTTCAAATTACTAGAAATTACACAAAAAAGGACTTTAAATTACCTTTCCTACACATCATGTGCATCCAATATGGACTTTTTCATGTACCTAAAAGACGTATTTTTGAACAACTGTCTCTGAATATACATTTTAAATAAACATTAGACCATTATTCTGCTGATGAAAATTTGAATCACTAAGCATATTTTATTTTTAATAATTATTAGTGATAATGTTAATATTATTTTCGTATAATACTCTTTCCTCCCAACAACCAATGACATGGGTAATATGGATATTTTTATCCACATTTTATAAATGAGGAAACTGAGGCTTAGGGTCACATAGCTAATAAGTGTTAGAGCTCAGATTTGAACCTTTCCATAATACCAAAATAAAAGCTTGGTATAATCCTTTAAACACCTTAGGCAGTTTAGTTGTAAGACTATCAAAGTAGGAGTTTTTTTAAACTATAGATTCCAAGTTTGTTAACTTCATTAAACTATAAGGATTAGCAATTTGTAATTCTCGGCCATTCATAAGACATCCTGGAAGGAAGAATCATCAGTTCCCTGAGGCTCTGGGATTAAGAGTCTATTACACCCACATCAAAGAGAATATAAGCAGTCTACTCTTGTGGAAGTAGACCCTGAGCAGACATCAGATATGTGCAACACCTGCCTGTACCCTAATCCTCTTCCCTTTTTGGCTTTCTATGGAATTGCATGATGGGAAGGTAGAGCAAGGGTTCCACTATTCTCTCGGCATTAAGGCGTGCTTGGAAGCCAAACAATACCACTTTACTTCCTTGTCCAACCCCAACTTCAGTTGCCCTCTGCCTGTGTCTACTATCTTCATCAGAAAAAGATACTGGTCTCAAAAGAAGGGAGCTTCCTATGAGGTTCTACCACCTTCACCCCTACCAAGCAATAAAAGAAAGATTAATTCCATATTATTTCCTGCTCACATTTTGACCAAAGCCACATCTAATATGACCCACATGAAAGGATGATGCTACATCAGAACCTATCAGAACCATCCACTCCATTTCACAACCATGCCGCATTCTAAACTGATCAAGACACACACTGGTGAAGCGGAATGATTTGTAAAACAAAGGGGTTGAACTAGATGGTCTCAAATGTCCTGTCCAGCTTCATTTTGTGGTTTTATGACTTCACTGTACTATAATTCATTTGACTGTGACATTAACAAAGTTTGTTGTACTACTTTGTAGATACTCCACTCCTTTAAAAGATGTTTTTAACTACTTCCAAGAAGTATGTCTCTTTAAAAAGAAGTATCATTTTTTAAATGCTTGACCTCTCTGATTGGCTAAGCAAAAGAGTTTTTTTTTTCTTTTTCATTAGTTTCTTTTCATTAGACAAACATTCTCTCCTACCCACTTATCCTTCTACTAGGGAATAAAGCCTTGCAACAAATATCATATTCAAACAAAACAAACTCCTGTGTTGGCCATGTCCAAAGATATATGCGTCATTCTGCATATCTACCCCATTTCAAAAGATAGTTTCAAAATGAATATTCTAATAGTCATGCGAGGTTTGCCAAAAATGCAAATGACTATCCCACAAATGTCTTGGAGAGTTGTTTTTAATGATATTTGAAGTAATGACTGTGGATTCTAATGTAATAACTGATATGGGGATTTTAATTAATGGAAAGGTACTTTAATCATATAAATCATATCAGCATTATTATTATGTGGACTGATGCTGATGGGTTTTGTTTCTAAAAGAGTCCTTCCTTCTACCCAAGATAAGTGAAATTCTAGTGATAACTACTGCAAAAGAAAAGAAAATAAGCCTTAAAAATGCAAAGATATCATCGATATTATCATTTAGCTTTAATATACCAAATACACCAAAAAATGATTTTTTTTTTACATTTTCTTAATAGGCACAAACTGATTCATCTCTTCCAGTTATTTATTTTATAGCCCAGATTCAGGAATAGAGAATGATTTTGATTGTTCTATCCATTTCTGATTACAGTTGTGTAACTTTAACTGTAGATAGAAAATCAGCTCATCACAAAATATCACCACTTGCTTCTACCAAATGTCCTGATGCACTGATGGGACTGATACCCCCTCCATCTAATCTGGTGAAGAAATAGCTGACTGTCAGGTGTCTTTTGTTCAGTAATGCTGCTAATCACCATAGCCCTTTTGTCACAGTGGCTCTTTATTGGTACTTAATTGATTACTCAGCAGTTGATTTATACTCAACAAGAACTGAATTTTCCTCATATCTTAAACTTTTATTCCACAAATGGTATCTAATAATGTTAATATAAAAGTGATTTTTTTTTAAAAAAAAATCTATATACAGGATTAAATCAGCATGAAAGAGCAGCTTGATTTTGAGCACTGAGCAAATACAACTTCAGACCTTGCTGGGCTAACCTCTGGAAAAGGCAACTGTAGGTTTCAGAAAATTAGAGGTCAGCCTGGTGTATGGGTACTGAAAACAAGCAGTCAAACCAATGCTATAACTTGGTCCCGGCCAATTTATCGTCATGGCAAAAGTATGTTTTAAATAGTAGACATTAGAGATGTGTTTCCTATTAAATCTATTGTAGCTTTAAGTGATTCAGAAAACTTTTTTTTTAACTTAAAAAAAAATCCACTAAGCTAGGCATTTAGCTGATTTACCGCTAATCTCATCATGTGAGAGATGATCCTTCATAGAGTGACTACAAAATGTATTCAAAATGTGCCATATTACCAAACATGCTACTTGCTCATCGGGGAAAATTTGTGCCAAAATTCCGGTTTGCATAAGTAAACATACTATTTGTTCTGTGGCAATACCTGTAGAATAATCTCTCTTTTTTCTTTAAATCTGTTTTCCTCCTGCTTCCCAGAGGACTGTCTGGAAGACAATGCAACATAGTGTAAGCTCTGGTCTTCTTATTCTCCATCTTCATTTTCATTTGTCTGTGCCATCAT